TAACTATGTAAGTAAATAACTATAAAAACCCTAATCAGTAATCAATAATAACCCTTAGTGCCATCGGATGCCTTATATATATCTGAAGTTGCACTCTCAATTACATGAATACTGGGGAACAGGAATTTGGGGGAGATGTATATTACCCCGTAGAGGATAAAAAAGGTTTTATTAGATTGGGAAAAGTGTTAGAAACCATTGTTCATTTTCTTTTTTGGTTTGTGTTCAAATTGGATATTGTTCCCTCAACTTCCTGTTTTTTTGATGGGTGTAAGACAGTGCAAATGAGGACACAGAAAGCAAAAATGGCTATCTTGAATGCAAGTTTCTTCCAGCCAGTCATGTCATGTCACAGACCATTTCTCTTCTTGCACAGCCTCAGAGTTGGGTGGTCCTTATTGCTGCACAAAATGGTTCCCATGTAATGATGCATGACTACCATTCTGTGCAGTGGTACTATGAGCCTAGGCCAGCGTTAAATGCACCTCCAGGGGGTGTGTCCATGAGGGCCTGTACTTACAGGAAGTAAGCAGAATGATGCTGTATGCTGATGCTCCTAAAAAAGGAGCGGCACTGAACCGTGGAGCTGTGAGTCTGCAGGGGCCTGTTGGTGGGTATTGCAGCAAAAAGCAGTATTCTTTATTTTTATAAGTGCTGGGAAATATGTTTTATTTAACATAAAAACTGAGTTTTACTTTACCTGTAGTAGAGAAAAAGAGGTCACCAGCCTGTCAATGTTGTCTGGCAGGGTGCCTAGATCTCAAGACTAGCTGAACACAATTACAAATCCTTTGGAGAATAGTACAAATAATTATTGTTTAACTTGTGTATTTAGCTATTTGTCTGGAAACCAGCTGTAAAAAAAACTTTTTTTTGTTATAACAAGTGTTTGTGCATATAAAAGGAAGTAAAATCTGTTTCTAGATTTCAGAAAAGGTGTTATTTTGTTATACTGTAGCAACGTCACTGTCACTCTTGGTAACGTTTTTAGATAAACCTTGAAATTCAGGTTTGCTAAGAAGAGTTCATTCACTGGAAAAATCAAACAAAAGGTATAAAATAAAAAATGGAGATTTTTTTTTGTAGCAGAACTTCAAGATTTTTTTTTATTCTGCTCTGTACAAAGGAGTTACCGCTAATGATGACAGTTTAGGTCCTGCTTATAGCTGCATAGTGTAAAGATTATTGCTTCACTGACGCTGGATAGTAGTGTCGGCGCCCTTCTGGTTCTGCAACTGACACTTCGGCTCTCATACATTGCAGGGATAATATTGTTTACACTCTCCTTCCTCTCCCTTTGTCCATGCACAGAAATTATTTTTACAGGATGTAAAATGTTCTGTGAAAAGGACAAGGGAAGAGGAAGGACAAGTAAACACCAGGTTTTTCCTTTGTCTAGTTACAGAGCGCCTTGTATTCTGTTAAAAAATACATGGCTTTTTGTGAATGGATGAGGGGAGAGGAAGGGGAATGTAAACTGCATGATTACTGTATTGTACAAGAACCAAATGCGGTGCCAGAAAAAGTGCTGATGCTAGTACCTGGCATCAGGGAAATTATCATTTTTACAATACAAAGCAGCAAGAGGGACTTACAGTTATTATCTGAAGGTAACTCTTTTGTTCAGAATAAAATGAAAAAGAAAAAAAATCCTGGTGTTCTGCTTTATATTACTTTGTACTTCATAAAGTAATTTATTTTTAATATATTTTCAAATAATATTTGGTGCGTCCTGATAAAGTAAATTGAAAGTATTTAGTGATTATACCATATCATATAAATTTGGTAGATTATTCAGAAAGATATTATTTAAAGAATCAAAAATATATATTTTAACTGAAAGCATATATGATACAGTCTGTATGACAAGTAGAAAAAAATCAACACCATTCAATGAAAATCGCTCGGATCCTGGCAAAGGAGCTGTGATTTGATTGTGTGAATAGAACTCAAAATATTATAAACCAACTTTAGTTCTTTTCCAGAGATCAGCTTTGTTTAGAGATTGCAAGACAGCTTGGCATGCATTAGCGTGCATGTAGGCAGCGTATCACTGGAATCCTTCATTAGACCTCTCATGCAAATATAACCACACACATTTCACCAATTCCATCTTTCCAGATAAACTGACCTCTTTCCATTACCTGTTGGTTGATAAACAGGTGCAAATACAGATAAAAAGTCGAGCTGGTTGACCCTTAGCTTGTTGGCTTAGGTGTTATTTTACTAGTGACACCTTGCCCATATTTCTTTTTTTTTTTAAAACACATGGCTTTGAGATGTTAATGCCTGAACGGAAAATGTTTAGTGGTTTAAGAACATATTTGCTGCTTTTGCTATGGTCAGGACTTAAAAAATAGATATGTTAAAAATATTTTGTTTTTCACTCTGGTAAATATGAAATATTTTGCATAGATTTTATGTAGTCTTCTACCAAGTCGGCAGGTGGAGCTTTAGGCTCCTTTTCACATTTTTTTTTTCTCTATCACATGCTGTAAAAAGCCTATTGTTTACAAACCTTAATAGCTCAAGTTGACATTTGCACACACAAATCAATAAGTGACTCATTCCTTATTGGATACTTCTATCCAAAGCTCAGTCAGACAAAACACATGTTTTGTAGATTGAGTGTTGTCAGCCCTGCCCAATGTCTTCTGCTAAACTACTCACTCTCAGATCTAAACAACATAAAGGCTTATCATTCTGTAGTCCAAGATAAGAACTAGGAAGGCTCTGTGAAATAGCAGCACTGAATTTCTGACATGATCAACAGTTTTTTGTGTTTTTTTGCACTTCTCAGTCAGATAAAACAAAATGCCTTCACTGGTATTTTAAATAGAACAAAAGGGAGCAAATAGGAAAAGTTAATTGTTAAGGTTTACATACCGTATTTTGCGTTCCATAAGACGCACCGGACCATAGGACGCAGGGAGGTCCGGTGCGCCTTATGGAGCACTCGACAGACCGTAGCTTCTGTCACAGCTTCTGTGACAGAAGCTGCAGTTAGTGACCGCTGAGACAGGTGGCGCTGTGATTAGAGCGCCACGGTCTCAGTGATCACACAGAGCAGACAAAGAACTTTCATTCTTTGTCTGCTCTATGGTGATTTTGATCGCCGCTGCCGCTGCTCGGTTTTAATATGAGTGATCTCATTAGATCACTCGTATTAAACGAGCAGTGGCTCCTACGGTACATTTAGCTCTGCTTTAGCTGGGCTAAATGTACAAAAAACTACTCGCCCTGTGCCCGAAACTGCATGTCTCGGGCGTCGGGATTCGCTCCATAAGACGTCTTATGGAGCGATAAATACGGTATACATATACATTGCAGTATTGAAATCATTGTAAGCATTCTTTGTGTAATTATGCCCTCCTCAAGTTACACAAATCAGTATTTTATGCAATAAATGTTCTACTTCATTAGCACCTTTTGAATCACAGTTATTCATATCATTTGAAAAATGGAGATTCGGGTCATAGGCAGAACTAGAGTATAAAATAGGCTTTTTTTTTTACTTTAAAGAATATTTTTTTACTTTAGGATTAAATCTCAAACTTGTTTTCAATAATAAATCCAGATCAACCCTCAATCCTGATCCAACTCTCTCAGTTAGGCTTCCCTGAACTTACTGTCCATTACAAGATCACAAAACATAGCACGGTCTCCAGCATCTACTAACATAAACAAGGGAGGAACGGGTAGCTACATTGCTGTGCTTATGTGTTTGTGGACATGCACAGCTTACCAGCACACACAAGGGTGGCTCCATAAAACAAGGGAAGGAAGCCACTCTAAAACAGGATATATCAGGGCCAGCGCTCAGAGGCATGAAATTCTGCAGGAAAATATACATTTTAAAACATCAAGGAGCAGCATTTGATATAACTTATCAAAACTTTTTGACTTTAATTCACTTTAAGTGCTGTCCTGCACACTGTGCAGTTGAACCTAGCAAAGTGGGACCATTGTAGGCTGTGGCTTGCATCAACCACATTTGCTTGGCAGTGTTTAATACTACCCTGTTTCCCCGAAAATAAGACCTACCCTGAAATAAAGATCTAGTACTATTTTTGGGAATTGCTAAAATATAAGACCTACCCCGAAAATAAGACCTAGTTGTGACCATTCCCAGGGCCGGTGGTGGCATAAGGGGGAACTTGAAGAGCCGCAGGAGAGAATCAGCGGTGCCAACTAAGCCAGCGCTAGAGGAAGCGAGGCGGGAGCAGTTATAAGACAGTGTCTTATTTTCGGGGAAACACGGTAGAAGGGGATGGTCAGCCATGGAAAGTAGAAAACAGCTGCCTTAAGCTGCCCAGTTCTGTATTTATAATGCCATTCTTGCTGCCTTAGTAAATATACTTAAAATTATTAAGTAGGTTTATAAACCTAATGTTGTCTTATCTTTTATTTCCCCATAGTGTGTTTATATATGCATACTATATAATGGTGATTTATTAATCTTATAAACTGTGAGAAAACAAACCTATTTTTCTTCTACTGAAGCTGAAAATGAGTGTGTTATTTTGTTGGATATAATCTATGTACTATTTTGTATTAATTTGCTATTATTTTATTTGTTGTAAATCTACTTAATATTGTGGTTTTTAATCCATCCATAGTGTATCTACTTTAAGAGAAGGAGTTTTACAAACAATACCATGTAGCCTTATCGCAAACTGTGCAGCTTGCATATTGCAAGGATGACAATATCTCATTTAAATGTGGTTTATAGTTTGTATATATGATAATCAATGTGGCAGTGTCTCTTCTGTTGTTGAACTAGCCAGCTATCCTCTAATTATGCCTAATGATACTTATATTGCATAAATTGTTTTAAGGAATTTTTATGGAAAACAACAGTTCTAAAACTAGAAAAAATTATGCGATCAAGTCAAATTATACAGAGTTCAAAATGTTGACAAAAAACATATTTGCATAGAAACCTTTGCATTAAATAAGGCACATCTCAATGTACAAAGTGCAATGAACCAAAGCAACTATTCCTCTTGGTTATTCCTTACTTGACCAACCCAAAGTAAAGTGCTTGCTGTGGTAATTGAACATAGCACACCCCCATTGTACTTTGCATTACGTGTGTACGTTGCATCCTTGCCATATAACCATGTATGTAAAAACAATAGAAGTGACTTGATTTATGAAAGAAAAATTAATTTACTACTAACCAATGGGTTAAGTGAACTTTTTTACTCTATTTGTAAATCATGTTTTGTAAAAATGTTCTTTCCTAAATCAACCTCGAGATATACTTTTACCTAACCTGTTATAACATGAGGCATCACCCAACGTGGATTCATTTATTTGAAGGAAGAGAATAATGTATGTTATGGACAGTATTTGTTGTGCATTTACAATTTACTGTTTTTTCCTAGAACATAATTATTATGTTACTTTTATTTAGTATTTTGTTAATAGGGTTTTCTAAATATGTATGTTCTATGTAAATAATACATTTGCTATTTTGAAAAGAAATGTCTAAACTGTACAGACAATAAAATTGTTGATAAGACTTTTTCTTTACTGAAATATTACACTTGACATTCTATGAACCAATAGAAAAAGAGAAAACAGGTTCTAATTATAACATGGTATACAGAGCAATGGTGGGCTGCAGTTATCACACGCAGCTGCTATGGGGCCTGGTAATATCTGACTAGGGAGGCTGTTGAGACAATTTAAACATTTAGAAGTCTACAAGAGCTGACGGGGCAAAGCTTTAATTGATATGGAATATTTTGTCCCCAGCAGGTAAAAACATATTTGAGGATTTGTGTTTCTAAGGACCTGGCTTAGGAAGTATTATTTCAATAAAGTTAGTTCAATAAAGGTTAGTTTTGAGCTTTCCTCCTGCTAGTTTGAGGTCAAGTCCTGGTGTTCTTGATCTTATTGAAAATACTTCCCTCCGGAAACTTATTTACACCATTAATGCATTTAAAGGTTTCAGTCATGTCCCTCTTTCCCTTTTTTCCGCAAGTGTGTACATATGAAGTTCCTGTAGTCTCTCCTAATCTGTTTTATCCCTCAGATCTTTTACCATTGTCTGGCCTGTCTCTGGCCTTGTGTTATTTTATCAATACCTTTTTGTAAGTGAGGTCTCAAGAACTGAATGCAGTATGCTAAAGGTGATCTAACTAAATATCTACATTGGGGAATTAGGACGTCCTTCCTCCTGCTAATAAGTCCTCCAGTGAGTCACCCAGAATTATATTTGCTTTCCCCACGTTTAGGCCACACTAATTTCTCTTTTCATGTTACAAACACATCCAGAAATATCAACCCTATTGCATACCTTTCTGTCATTAGCAAAAAGACATACCACACTTTATATAACTTACAAACAGATTATATATTTTCCCTGGGTCTCCCGACCCGGTCAGTTAGCCCACCTAGTGTTGCGCCCTTTTGGATTTTTTTGTTTCAAGTAAACAGATTATATAAACAACATCTGGTGCATTGCCTTGTGATACACCACTAGTGGGTAATCTCTGTTCCAAATGAACTCCATTTCCCACATATTCTGATATCTATCTTTTACCAACTGCATATGCACTAAACCACCAAAGGGTTAAGTCCTAACTTGTACAACTTTGTAATGAGATCATTATGTTGAACTGCATCAAATGCTTTGATGAAATCAGGATTGGCCACAGCTCTTTTCTGGTCCAAAAATATTTGAGGCATAGTAAAAATTATTTTATTAAGCTCTAAGGCTGCTTTCAGGCAGGTCTTAAGGCTGCAGCTGGGCATTCATATGGCAAGAAACTACAGATGTTTGCAGCAGGAATTCAAGGTGTGTATGTACAGATGTGGCCACTATGCCTGTTCAAGTGAATGACAGGCTGACAGTAGCCACATCTGTCAGTGGCTGTCCGCATGTTATCATAAATGGAACAATTACCTGCGTTTTGGGATGGATGATTGCCCCTGGATGCAAACAGATTTACAAATTTAGACTTCCTTTTCTCTGCTTTACCAGTGCTGATTTTATGTTTGGCCCCCTTTTGTCGTTTTTTTTATACAACTTGTACAATTGTATCTCCTATATGATAATTATTTTTCCTCCTTTACTATCCTACTTACCCTTGTAGCAAACCATATGGTGGACTTTAATTACACCCACTGATTACTTGCTACTGCCATTTTACTCCAATCTTTTAATAAATGTTTTAGAAATGTATCCATTTTAGCATTTCTGCTAAATTTGCCCATTTTAGCATTTATGTTTTTGTATAAGATCTTTCAGTTTTGTATTCTTTCATTAAACCAAAGATAATAGAGATTACTGGAACCCACATTTTCAACAGCCTTAACATCAACATCAGGCAATTGATCCCTATTTGTCAATACCATATCTAGAATATGATCTGTTCTGGTTGGGCTTTTTACTAATAATTTTAGAGAAACCTCTTTCAATTCCCACAACAGATCTCTGCTTCTGCTTAAAAGGGCAGTTTAAGAGTTACAGTAAATGTCCAGAATGTTGAAGTCACCCATAATTAAAACCTCTTCCTTCACTGGCATTTGTTTCATCAATCAATAGGTAATTATAATTCTTAGACTGTCCTGGGGATCAGTATACTATTCCAATTCTAATTGAAGATGCCTTCCTGGATTGTAGGCAGACCAAGAGGTTTTCAAGAAGTTCATTTGTTTTTTTAATTAATGTTAATTTTATGCTGTTTTTGACATAAATGGCAACTCCAGCTCCCCTCTTACTCTGTCCTTCCTACTCTGTCTTTTCCCAGTCATTTGAATCCCTGAACCATGTCTCTGTAATCACAGTAAAGTCCAAGTTATCCTTGGACATAAAGGGGGTGATTTATTAACCTAAACACACGCACGCACCAGGTGTGTGTGATTTTCACACAGCAAAACGTATTTATCAACCAAAAAGTCTCTAAAAGCATATTTCCACTAATGCCATATATGGAAAAATCATGCACATGATGCATATATAATGCTGCTTCACAGTTTAGACAAAAATGGTTAGTTCATGCATTTACATTCCTGCATTCATCAACGCAAGCAACACAACATAGAGCTAATTTACACAACATCACCTTGGAATTCATGCTTGGCTTTGCACAACACACCCGCTGGGTGTGTACACACTACAAAGGTGTTTAGATTCCACCCATAGATCATGCTGTGAGGGAACACACTACAGAGGTGTATACATGTTCGTGGTGTGTTTATAAGGTTAGTAAATCAACTCCAAAGGCTCACAAGCTTGTTACCTAAACTACAAGTAGTGTTAATTTAGTCGACTAAAACCTTTCCTCATAGTTTTCATCAGCTGCATGTTTTCAGTGAGGAAAATTAAATAAAAACTAAGTTAATAGGGCTAAAACTATGAGAAAAATACATTGCAATATTCTCTACTAGAAATTTGGTAAACAAATCTAAACTAAAACTAAATTCAAATGACTAAAATACAACTAAAACTAAAATACGACTAAAACTAAAATGGCATTTAGTTTTAGTTGTATTTTAGTCATCTGAATTGTTTTAGTTTAGTTTTATTGACTAAGAGGGTTATTCACTTAGCTGCTGAGTGAATAACCGAGCCGAAGTGAACTGAGCCGAACGGCGTTCGGCTATTCCTTCGGCTCTGTATGGCTGATTTCAGCTGTACATCGGCTAAAATGGCCTGCCTTCGGCCATTCGAACATGCTCAGCATGTTCGGCTGAGCCAAAGTGCAGAAGCCGTTTGACTCGGCTGATCCAAAATCTGGATTGGCCGAGCCGAAGCTCTGGCAGTTCACTCACTGCCGTTCGCCCCTATTCTCACAGGAGCCGAATGGCAGTGACTGAATAGCTGAATGCCTCCGAGGTAGTGAGCGGAATAGAAAAAATGTAAACAAATAAAAAAATATTAAAAAATTATTTAAATAAATGTAAAAAGAATTAAAAGGAAAAAAGGATATCATAAAAAAATGGAAAGAAAAAAAGTGTGGGGTCCCCCTCCCAAACCATAGCAGACCCTTTAGGTTGGGTAGGAATGTGAGGAGGGACTCCAAGCTAGAAAAAAAAATGTGTGGGGTTCCCCCCAAAAGTCAAACCAGGCCCTTTAAATCTGGTAGGAATTTTAAGATGGTACCCCACCCCCAAAAATGGGGGATAAAAACCGTGAGGGCCCCCCTAAAATTCCTAACCAGACCCCTGATCCAAGCACGCCTGGCAGGGCAGAAAAGGGAGAGGATGAGCATGCAGCCCCCTCCCTGCCATATCAGGCCACATGCCCTCAGCACTGGGAGTGTGCTTTCCAAGGGTCCCCCCCTGGAAAGGCGCCTTGTCCTAATGGCGATGGGGACAAGGCCCTCTTGCCCACCACCTCTGGGACGTTGGTTGTGGGGGTCTGCAGGCAGGGGGGCTTATTTGCATCAGGGAACCCCTTTAATAAAGGGGCACCCAGATGCACTCCCCCTTGTGAATGAGTAAGGAGTACTTGTACCCCTACCCATTCACTAAAGGGTTAAAAAAATATAAACAAAAAGACCAGACTTTAATCAAAAATTCTTGAATTGAAATAAAAAAACACAACAAAGGATTTTTGACAAAAAAATGAGTGAGCTACTAAGGACAGAGTAATTAGCTGGAGAATTGATGTATGTGAATGTCACAGTAAATACACCAGTTTACAAATTCCCTTTAATAGCATTGTACATGTATATGTGATAACTGAATTTGCTCACGCAACCGTATTAGCAAGGTCTTGGATCGCTTTCCAATTGCAATTCCAATGGGAAGGGTCAGTTCAGGAGGCAGGCAGAGAAGTGGTCAGTATGCAAGCAAAGGCTGGGTCCAGGCAGCAGGCAGAAATATCGTCGAGAAAACAGGCAAAGGGTCAATACACAGGAGATCAGATACAAGCAAATGGCAGTTAGCCAGGCACATGCGAGACACCTTCACTACACTGTGCAGTCTAATACCTTAGGCTAATATCATAGTAAGGTATGGTAGTGATGGAAGCAATCCTTTATGGAGAGGCCAGATTGTGAAGGACAGTAGGAACAAAAAAATGCCTTATTTCATCTATGCTGCATACATATATTTTTGTGTCCAGTCTGCTTGGGTAGAAGGGATAACATTGAGGAAGTGTCTCTCATGCAGCCTAGTAAATTAGGGCTGTTATATATGGTCTGGTCTTGCCTTTTACTGTTATAATATTAAACCAGCTTTACATCTATTCCACATTTCAGTTTGGCGTCTGTTATTTGGCAATTGTTAGTACATATAATGCTACTGTGAGATTATTATTTTTTTGTCTTCCCAGAGTTTTTTTTTATTTTTTGTATAATAAAGATGCAAAAATAAGTAAAACATTGAAAAAATATTTGTTTCCATTTTGACAATGATCATTTTCAAATAAATGTTACAATAGATAAGGTATAGAGTGCTAATTTTATTCTGTGGTTCGATCCATATATTTTGTAAAAATAATGTTTCTGATACAAAGTATACTGAAGCTGCTTTACAAATTAAATAAAAGTGTATGTATTGCCAAAACTTTTTTAGATTTGAATAGAGTATGGAAGGATTAGAGCCCTGTCAGGTTTTCACAACTGTCTGAGTACCTGTGGGAAGATTTACCCTTTCCTTTAGGCCTTGTTCACACCAAATGCAGAGCAGATCTGCATGAGTTTCTGCACACACAGTGCAGTGGGTTGTGCCACGTTTTTGCTGCATTTTTCGCTGCGTTTTTGATGCGTTCCAAGCCGTTTTTGGTTTAAAAAAATGTATTTAGTTTAAAATGGGCTTTCAGTACGTTCCAGGGTGTTTGCATGCGTTTTTGATGCATTTGCATGCGTTCCAGAGCAGGTAAAATAGGGCCTACTGCAGTTTTGCTCCAGTCTGTAATTGCTCTGCTCTGCTCCTCGAACACGCTTGGTGTGAACAAGGCCTTAGTCCTGGTGTCCATTGTCTCCAAAAGGGAAAGTCATAGGAAATCCAAAAACATGCTGATGTCACCTGAACAGGAAGTGAGAGGAAATAGTTACTTTCACTTCCTGTTCCATTTCCATGACAAGAAGTGGAGGAAATTATTTTACACTATCCAGAATCAGATATTAAATAATTATTTAAGTGTGCATGCACTTTAAGACCTTTTAATTTTGCATGTGTGTATTTTATTCTTACACTACACAAAAGAGTACTTTGTGGTATCTAGAAATCAGAACTAACCTCTGAAAATCATGTATGGCAGTTTAACATATATACCACTTAATTAGATGTTATTATACAGTTTTAATAGCTCAAAATGATTTCTCATTAAAATATCAAACAAAGTAATATGACTTATTCTTTCACTATGGGAGACCTGGCAAAGCTTCTGTATATATTACAATACAACATGCCAAGATTGCTTTCCGAAGAGCTGCTATGTTGGTGTGATATCTAGTTTAAGAATACATTTAACATTTTTGTGAAAGAACGTGAGTCAGGATATAGCAGTACCTTGACAAAGTGATCCGTCCAAACACAATCTTTTTGTGAGATATTATTAGTGATGCTAGAATAAACCTTTGAAGATTATTGAATTCTTAGGAGATGCTGGGGACTTTTATGAAGCTTACTGAGCAAATATTATTCATTGAAAAAGCGATTTTTAGATCTTATAGCAACATCATCCCAGATTTTATGACAATAAGAATAAATGTAACCTAACCCAAATGTAAATTAAGTTGTTCTGTGTGTATTGAAAATAAATGTATTCATGCAAATGTATTAGGATGAAAGAAGCAGAATCTTTCAGTTACATTTTTTCAAATTAGCCTTTCATTGCCATAATACACATGTTTTTATTGTATATATTGTATAACCAAACTGAAATATAAATTACTGCAGATGACATACTTATATTGTTGCTTGAGAAAGTTTAAGACAAGTTGAGAAAAGTAAATTGATTAAAGGAGAACGATCTGGTTAGGGATTTACACTCATCCTCATAGTTAGAGCCGACGTGTGAGATTGAAACACGTCGGCTCTATTGATCGGGAAGTGAGTGACCACAAACTGTCACTCGCTCGCTTTCCAATCATTTCCCTGCAGAGAGCAGTGACTGTCAGTCACCGCTCCCCA